ACAATTTATTAAAAATTCCATCGGCACTCACCAAAATGCAAAAAATAGACACTGCACATCCAACTTGATCACTTTTAAATAAATCACAACCCATTACAAAAGGATTTCAAACAGTTTTTCTTTTGAAATAAATTTGCGTGACACAACAACTTGATGTGACAGCAAGAAATGTCACATTGACTTTTTCGCGTAAAATTTTTTTACGTAAACAATCACGTCGTATGTTAAACAACCAATAATGTGTCAAAAAAAACAATCTATCTCTAAGAAGTGTCCTTTACGCGGTCAATGTGTCTCACATGTAAAAAGTGTAAATAAAGACTCTGGCAGCCCCCCAATCCATTCGAAATGTTGACAACGACAAATAAATGCCTCTCCTTTCTACTCTAGTATTTAAAAAAATTGTCTTAAAGACGTAGAAAAAAAGTTTTTAGCTGAGCAGAATTTTCGAGTGCGACAACACTGTCACGCTTTAGTATTATAAAATGTCAAATGTCAAAAAATAAATGTAAAAATTTTTTGAAAGATAGAATTTTTTAAACATTTTTGTCTTGCACAGTCACCCATTTTATCAATTTTGTTTATTATTTAACACAAGTTAAATCTTAGCAAACTCTTAAATTATAAAATTTAAATTTGGAAACATAAATTCATTATAAAATATTAAGTTTCATAAATTGAGCTTACTGTCGAAGTTGATGAACAAATTGATTTTGCCAACAAATTTAGATTTTCGGTGATATCTAAAATTTATTAAAAAAATTTCAAATAATATTTTAAAATTTTAAATATTTAACTGTTTTTGAAAATTATAAAATTAAGTTTGATATTTGATTGGTAAGTAAAAAATTCAAATGCTGAATTTCATGTGTAATTTTCTATTTAAGAAGTTTTAGATTTAATTACCAAAAAGACAAGAATTCAAAAATTTTCAATTATTTTAATTTTATTGCGAGAACACACATAAATAGTGAAATATTGAGAAAAAGTCACCTTTCACTTGTGGAAAACTTTTGCTGCATATAAATTTTCGTGTCATCTTGTGTCAAAACAACCAAATATTCCATGTTTCGCAAAGGTAAAATCTCTCCAAGAAAATTGAGTAATTTTGTTTCTTGTCGGAATCAAATTATTACCGAAGAGAAAGTAAAAAAATTCTTTACTCAATGCAAGCTATCAATTTCGTACACTTTTTTTCTTTTATTTCTAATTACAATCGTTCCAGATCTAATTTATTCTAATCACTGCGATGCAAAAATACCCGAAAAAATCACCAAATTAACGTAATAATCTAGAAAGTGCGTATTATATAACACTAATGTTTTGGTCACGTGACTTATTTCCACCCATCTGGGTCAAGTTTTACTATCAACTCGTATTTTTAGAAAGCGAATCGGAATTTTCGTAATCGTACGTTTCTTTCACCTCAAGGTCGAATTATATTTATACCTACTTTATTCCATTAACAAAAATTATAGTAAATATTTGTACAACAAGTAGAGAAAACCGATCAAGAGGACGATTTTGCACACCAGATCCACGAATCGCATCCTGAAACAAACAAATTTACGTCAAAAATTTTTTTACAATTTTTTTCGTATTTTTTTACAATCGCATATGTCTCCTAGCCGAAGGTATTGTTTCGTCGCCCTCTTTGAGGATGTAAAGACGGGCAGCTCGCACACAATCGGTGAAATAATCATGGTAGTTAATTCCTTCGCCATCGAGTTTGTAAATTGCTCGTTCTTTTGGATTGAGCATTTGACGTAATTTCATGGAATCGTCATTGTTGAAATCCCATTGGTTATTGGCGTAATATTCAAACACTTCGTAGCCTTTGGAAACGCGTTTTTGGACACGCATTAAACTGGAAGAGAAAGTAGATGAATTGCTGGTTGCATATAAAAGAGACGGAGCAAAAAATTTATACAGGGTCAGTCACAGAAATAATTTGGGCAGTAACCCATTACACAATTTACATAGGCGTCTAGCTTCCTCATTTTTTTAAATTATAAAACTTTGCATACCTTTTCATTTTGACATTTAAAAAGTAACAGTCAATTTTTGTTAATACAATGTATTATTATTGAAAAGTGGGCAAACTAATTAATTTTTAAACTCTACGTAATTTTACGTCTAGAAAACCATATTTCAACCGTTTTTACGARTTTTAGTAAATTGACTATTTTTACGATTTTACCTTCAAAAACTCAAAAAATTCAAAATTTTTGAAACTTGACCCAATGTCGTTTT